GTAAATTCACAGTGAGCAGGATCAGATATTCAGAGCCTGGCGTTTTCTCTCTTGATAAATAAAGTGAGTAGTTGACTGCAGTTAACCCCTCCCTCCCCGTCTCTCCTCTGCACACTGCCCATGAGCCTGCGGCGTCTCCTCTCTCTCTGACGTGACACAAACATGGCCGACGCTGACAGCTCTCTGCGGAGGGAGGGGCCGGTGATTGATTAGTCTCCACGGAAACCATACGTCTCTAATGAACAAGGGAAAGCTGCCACGTTCAGTCGTGTGTTGTGGGAGGCTGTGAATGCTGCTTTGTGCGTTGCGTAAGTTTGTGTGTGTTGTGTGTGTGTTCTCATTGGACAGGTGCGTTGACAGGTGCAAACGCAGGTCTTGTGTGGTAAGGGACCATATGTGTACTGTGGAACACAATGGTTTTACACTCCAACTACCTCTCAATTTTATGGCTACCCAAGTATAAAGTTTAATAGGCCTATCGTCACAGAGGTTGGTAAATAAAATAATAAAAAAGAAACTAAAAATACGTAATCACATTCAAGGCCAAAGAAGGATTAAGTAATGAAAAATCAAACAATTTAGCAAGAAACTAGAACTTTAGACAAGCCTTTACCAGTTCTGGAAGTAAATTGTCCAATCATTTTTCTCATAGACTCAAAGAAAAACAAAAAAAGTATTTATTAAAAGTTTGCTCAGGGCTAATCAGCTGTGTGGCAATTAAACAGGATTGTATTTATAATCTGTTTCTTTATCATTATAAACTGCTAAATTATTAAAACACTTTGCAGAATCATTTGTTTTAAATGTGCTTTCTGGACTAAACAATTGTGATATGAATATTGTTTACCTTGTAGCTGGTTAATCTCTGTGATGTGTTATAATTCTTCATGTTTGAATCTTTTGAAAAATCTTCTGAAAAAAATGAATGGAAAGTTACTTCCGGGAGCCAGAGCGGACTGTTGAGCTCCATAATCCCAGACACTTTGCTGTACCCACAATTAAAACCACTGCTGCTCTGTGACGGATCATTTATTTTTGTGTTTTTGTTTTAATAAGTTAGTAGAAAACAAAAAAATATTTTCAAAAACGATACAGTGTAAATAAAAAGAAGGCATAAGACAAGAAAAATGGTCTAAAATCTAAAGCCCTATAGCCCTTGTGTGAGCTTTCAGTCATGTTATAATGTTACTTCATCTCATTCCTTATCAAAAACATACCCGGAAATGTGTTTTGTTTCATTCATACATATTTGAGTTATTCTTTATTATTGTCTACATCTCCAAAGCTCAAAATGCTCTGCTCCACCTTGTCATGGTGGTAGTTTTTCAGGGATGAAATGGCGAAATATGGTCCCTTTAAATAAACAGAATTTGAGAAAAAAGAAGAAGAAGGAAAAAAAAAAAGCCATAGCCAAACCACAACTAGAATACTCTTTCAAAATCGCTTTTCTTGAACCCTTAGAAGCACTACTGCCATTTTTTACACAAAACCACCGCCCCTCTGCTACAAATACAGTGAATCAACTTTAAATATATTCTAATTTATTTTGCTTTAAAGTTAGGCTGCTTCCGTTTGAAATTCAGTTTAATTTGTTCTGCATAATGACTTCATGTATTTCCAGGCTTTTCCTGTTTCACTTATATTCCCTGTTTAAAATACATAGAGTGATGCTCGGTCTGTGCCTTATATTTCACAGCCAGAAGTGGGTCATATGTATTTGCACAGTCCGTCTTTGAAGGGCAGAGTTAAATCATTTTCACTGTGTTACTGTTGCATACTCTGTGGACTGTCAGAAAATGTAGGTCTCAGAATTATTTGGGATGCACTTGTAAGTGAAGAGAGCTTTGACTACCTTGAAATGCAGCCTCTTTTACTATTCCTTTAAAAAAAAAAATCCTAAATCTGGTAGTTAAAGTGGACGTACCCATTTTTTCATGTAATAAAGTAAAATTAGTTTGGTTCCAGTACACAGATATATTATAAAAGCAGCTCTTAGGGTTAGAATTAGACACTCTCTGCTGTTTGCATAAATATATAAAGCATTTTTATCTCCATGAACCAGAAAGTAGTGCTGCCGGTCGCATGCTAGTTGCTGTTAGCTTCACTGTATCATTGTGGTGAATAATTAGGACGCTAGAAATAGATTGGGAAAGTCAGGAATAACTTTGGTGCCCTGCAAACAGTTGAGAAATTAGTTTTAAACATTTTTAGGACAGTAAAAAGCTGTTTAAAGTGACTGAAATGGTTAACAAATTCTTAACAAACTATGCACCATAAGATATCCATCTGTCAATACTAACAGATGCAGAGAACGTACACCTGAAATTACAGATTTAACCTAAATACATCGCACAGTCAGGTTGTATAAGGTAATAATACTTATACCTTATACCTTTCTTCACATAATCTGTCATGTAGGTCCATGTAACCTTATGCATATTAGCTTGAAAACCTTAGCAACATAGATCATATTGGGCCTCATTCATGAAACATAATTACGGACAAATTTTTTCTTAAGGCCTTCTTATGAATATTTTTGGCATTCTCAAAACTTCTTCTTAACTGAAAATGTTCTTTTGGAAGAACAAATCCGATGAACAGTCAGGAACACTCGTAAGAACAAAAATTCAACACTTTTAGAATATTGTTACTCTGATAATGCTGTAAAAAATTCTAATTCCTCCATGATTGTAAGTTATATATTTTCTTAAATTATTTCCTATAAACATATTTTTATGAGATCCCCCCCCCCATGACCAAAGCGACCCTTACTCGAATCACCTACCTCGCTCTTTACCGCAGGGCTGCGATTGCAGAAAGTGTGATAAATACGACGAAAGCACCCACTTATTTCAATAACTTTCTACTTAAATATTCTCTCAGTGAGCGTGTTCATGTGAGTTTGGGCATTTGAAATCACCTTTGAAGCCGCAGTCTGTAGATGCTCCACCCATCTTCCTCATCACTCGCTCCCTCGCCTTTTCACATGTCATAATATCAAACCCATATTGGCCATATTTGGAAGTTCAGAGAGCATTTCTAACTAAATCTTGAACCATCTTAATTCTCTACGTAAATTAATTGAAAATGAGCGTGCAGGTGTAGCTGGGTGTTGGTGAATTCAGCGCAAACTGTCACAAAAGAAGGAATTTGGCTGCTTAAGAATGTTTTGTGAATCTGGGTCTTTCGTAAAGTGGAAGTTACGAACAATTTTTAAGAAAAGATTCATGAATGAAGCCCATTGTTTCTTCACCAATCGGTAGTCACCATCGCTAAGAAATGAGCAAACCAGCTTCCACCAACGCCCAAAAAACTCCAGAATCCCCGATATTATAGCAAACTTTGCATAACTATGTCGATCAGTGTTCAAATGCAGAGCTTGTATCCACACTACAGGAGATCCTTGTGTCGATACCTCTGCCCCATGCACCCCCTACCCCCTCCCGAAGCCTGTCCCCGTTTGATGACACGCTTGTCACGCTCTCATACACCGTGACAAATCAAGCGAGACACATCAACACGCCATCGGACACTTTTATTACGCTATGCTAATATGGCCCTTCGTTCACATCGCCTCTACTCATCCCCGCCATTTTTGATTTAAGACTTATTAGAAACCACTTTGCCACAGCGCTCTATCAAGGAATCAATATTTAGGACGTTGGCAAACAATTGTTCAAAGTACACGGGGGCCAGCTAATTGCGTGTTGACATCGTAGTTGTGAGTAAGAGTACAGGTTAAGTGCAATTTGCATCTTGTTTTGTAGTGTCATATTGCACCATTGGTTGAAATAATTATCACGCTCTGTTTTTTCAATAATATCATGCTATTTTAAAGTCACTGCATCATTAGACAAGATTAGAACATTTAAAAGGCTCATATTACGCTATTTTCTGATCTCTTATAATGTTGTTTCCTCATTAAAAACATACCTAGAGTTTTGTTTCATTCATCTTTAACACACAAGTTTTATATATTCACTTTCACTACAGTCATTTGGATAATTTCAGACCTAGAATTGACCACAGTTCTACAAAACAAAAGGTTCAAGGTAGCTGGTAACTTGAGAATGGTTGCTTCGTGGAGGGTGGAGCAGGGCATTTTAAGCTTTGGAGATGTAGACAGACAGACTAAGGGTTATTCAAACATGTGCAAACAAAGCAAAACACAACTCCAGGTATGTTTTTTGGAGGTAACAACATTCTAACATGGCTAAAAGCTGTCAAAAATTTTGCATAATATAGAATTTTTAATATACATAGGATTATAAGATGTATGCCCCACTTACACAACTACTGTACCTCTAAGCCAATTTCCTCTCAAGCAATTGATATAGTTACCCATTTTTTGTTAGTTATGTGCCACTAGCAACTCTCCTCCGTCCTAGGCATGCAGGCATAGGCATTGCAGCAGAAGACCCCTCAACCACCTCAGCCTCTCCATCGTCTCCGCTTCACCGCCACCACCTATACAAAAATGAAAGTTACTATCATGAATTGAAATGTAATAGGCTCAGGTTATAGTCTTAAGAGAGTTGAAGAAATATGTAAACAAGCCAGCTAGTTTACAAGGAATTGGTCTGGGTCATTTTAGAATTGAATAGATTTTTATTTGTCTGTTTCAAGATAAAACAGAAATATTTCATTGCGTCTCCGTCATTGGTATTGGCAACAGAAGCTCAGTTGGTAAGAGCGTTTGTCCACTGATCTGAGGGCTGGGGTTTCGACATAAACATCATTGGTTGAGCGGCCAGATTCACTGACCCACAGGTTGGCTGGTGTGATTCTAGCTCCCACAGATGAATGTTGTTGTTGTGTCCTTGAGCAAGACACTTAACCCACCTCACCTCCAGTGTCTGTGTACACTGGAGTATGAATGTGTGTGTGAATGTTGTTGTAAAGAGCTTTGAGCGTCTTGAAGGTGGAAAAACGCTATATAAAAATGTGATATTGTTGCTCTGTTCAACTTAGCCTAATCATTTGTTCTTCTCTTTCCACAGCCGTTGCAGATAGATGACAACTTCTGCGGCCAGGACTTCAACCAGCCTCTAGGGGGCACCTCCGCCATCGAGGGCATTCCTCTGTATGTGGACAAAGAGGATGGCATGACCTCTATAGCTGCGTATGACTACCGCGGGCACACTGTGGCCTTCACTGGCACCAGGAGCGGACGGATCAGGAAGGTAGGATGGGCGTTTCTTTGTTTCTGCTGGATATGTTTTACTTATCGTTCATGGAATATCTTTCAGTATCTGTTTACGCTGGGACTATTTGCTTTAAAACAGAATATGCAACTTTTCTGGTGCAGATTGAGGGTCCCCCACTTGCTTGTTTCCCTGAGATATTATTGCTTTGCCAAAAAAATTCCACAAAATAACATTAATCTTATATATATCCATGGAGCTAACTCAGCAAGGTCAAGTTACAGGTCAGATCTGCGGGGTGGCACCCCTGTCACTTGTAGAATGCATGTTTTTCAAGACAGTAAAAACACCTATAAAGGAAAAATGCAATATGCCATACTGGAAATACATCTCCATGGAGACAAGCAAGTGGCAGAACCTCCATTAGAAAAGTTACATAATTCACTTTTAATAGTACAAAGAAATAATTAGGAGTAGTATAGTTTCAAATCAGCTAACTCCCTACAACTTTATTAAAAGACTGCTGTGAAGGTATTCCCGGCTAATGGATTCTGTTCAGGATTATTTGCCGTAGACATAATTTCAATGGGAATTTTGCAATATCATTTTGAGGCGTCGCAATACACAGGGAGCCAACTCTTTCCTCTATCGCTTGGCAACCTAATGCTAACTGTCTCCGCTCCTGTTTACCGTCAGCGCTTAATGTGAATTGAAAGTGATTGAAGCTGTACGTAGGAGTCGTTTTATCTATGGTACATCGAAGTACATAGAGTTTGGAGCAGTTTAGTGTCAATCTGCATGCCTCTCTAATGGGTATTGCTTCTGACAATGCTGCCGAATGGATTAGTCATCAACGTCTTATTGCATCGTTGGGTCCTATTACATCTGCATTACTGTGTATTCAAGTCATCCATAGATCACCATTTGAGGAAGGTGCATCGTGAGGAAGAGACTAAGCAGACCTTTTTATGTAGACGGGAGTTTGTCGGTGTGAAGGTTATCGCTAAAAGGGCAAGTTGAGATACTGAGTTCAGACGGTTAAATACGTTGTTAAACCAGGGCAACTGCTGGGTGGTTAAAGGTGCACTTTGGGACTTTACTGGTGGAGGGTGTGCTCGCTGCTTGTCTCCGTGGAGATGTTATTGTTTTGCCTGGAATGTTCCATGGTATGACTTTAAGCATTTCCATCTAGCATTTATTCAGTACAGGTGTTTCTGTTGCTTAAAAATACAATGATTTTTTGGACTATAAGGCACACTTAAAACCCTTAAATTTTCTCAAAAATCGACAGTGCGCCTTATGTATTAATTCTGGTTGTGCTTACTGACCTCGAACTGATTTTATGTGGTACATGGCGCTCAAAAATCTGTCAAAATGTTTTAGTACGACTTCGGTAAGCTACGAAGCCGCACTGCTTGGTGGGTTGTCGGAGTATTACAGTTGCCTGAGCTTCACAGAGTAATACACATTCACCAAGAACTGTGGATCATGGATGCTTGGGCTAAGGTGTCAGTCTCAAGTGTTGTCCGAGCTTTCACGAAGGCCAGAATCATCACTGAACAGCTAAGTAACAGTGCCGAGACTGACTCAGATACTGACGAGAGAGATTTGGGCATGCTTGATGCCGAAATCGCCCAATAAAATAAATTTCGACTTACCTAGCTGTTTTGTTTCACTTAATCCGTTTTATAAACCGGTGCACCTTATGTATGAAAATAGACGAGGGAATTCGACATTATTGATATTGTGCCTTATAGTCCAAAAAATACAGTAAATTCCTTTTGTAAATAGGGGCGACTCTCCACAGATCTGATTTATAATGTAGCGTAGTGCTCTAACCTGCCTGTCTCCCTATTGGTAAGATTAATCTATACAGTGGAACATTCTAAACAAAGCAATAACAATACATTCTAAACAAAGCAATATGGCGACGTCAAGCTGCAAACCCTCCTCTAGAAATGTTACACAGTACACCTTAAATTCAGCTTACTGTCATGTTTAGGCTACACACTAATATTATAAGGCAATTCTGCAAATAATATCTAATGCAATGGTCTAAAGAAGAGCAAAGAAATTAAATTTTTGGCCAAAAAAATTGGTTATTTCCCTCCAAATTTTATGTATTTATTTATTTTTCATTTTGGATTATTTTATTGCTCTGAAAAGCATACATCATAGTGTGAGTGGGCTTGTATCACCACAAACCTGACTCTTATTTGGCCTAAAGCCCTCCACCGGCTTGTCTTAATGGAAATATTTCACACTTTCATAAAACTCATCTATCTATGTTCTGAAGTGTGGGTTTAACTTTCTATTTCCATGAATCATGCTGGTGACATTACACCTCCAGAAAGTTCCATGATTTTGCTTAAACTTGCTTTTAAAATCTCAAAGTAAACCAACAGAATACCTCAAATAAATGTAAGTTATTAATTGGTTAAACTCAACTGGTGTTTGTTTATGTGAACATTTTGGATTATATATGAAAACAAAAATCTTTCTTATCATTGGCCAAACATCATGAACTAAACTCTTACCCAGTCAAAAAATGTTGTGTAGCCATAATTATTTTAAGATTCCAAAGATCTTAAGATGGATAGAACTATTAATGATTTTATAAAAGTATTTACATTTCCCTCTCTGTCCTTATTGCTGTTTACAATTCTTTCATACCAAAGACGAGACGTAATTACCGAGCCTGCGAGTCGGATGCTACAACATCTCTCCCCATCACCAAGCTTTTCAATTTCTTTACTTAAATTATTGTTTGTTATCATAAACACTAGACTCCCATGAACATATCTTTGCTGCTCAGATCAGGGTAATGAAAACGCTTCTCTTCTCGCTGCCGTCGCGTAAAATGCTAATATTTTTCCGCCTGGGGTCGGGGTTAGCTTGGTGCGTTGGAGACAGCTAGCGGCTCAGAATAAGCGAGCTCCACGTGTCACTGTCGGGAGTGTTTAGCATTGACTTGTTTTTGGCGAATATTGCGTGGTGCTTTTAAGTTGTCTCCAATTGTGTCAGTGAAGCAGCCTCTGTGTTTACGGCTTGCTTCCTGTCAGACTGGTTTTATACATTTTCGTTCTTATTTTTTATTCGACAGCTGCAGTTTGGATGAAAGCCTGACAGTTTAATATGCCAGGCTACTCACTCAATATATTTGTGTCGTACTGTGTGGGTAATTGACTTAAGGTTTTTAGCTGGACCTCTGACCTTGTCAATGTTTATACGAGCAATGAATCAATCTTTGGAGTCCTTAATGCTAGGCCTGTCACCATAACAAATGTTGATATAATATAATTGTTAATAAAGTTATATTACTGAAGAAAATATAGATGATAAATAATAATAATAAATAATAATAATAATAATAATAATAATAATAATAATAATAATAATAATAATAATGAAACTAATTCATACCACTGACAAAATAACCCAAGTGCAGATTTAAAGTTGCATTGTGTAACTTTTCTGATGAAGGGTCCATCAAATGCTTTTCTCCATAGAGATGTTATTGCTTTGTCTGGAAGGTTTCACAGTATGGCATTAAACCTTTCTATCTTCATGGAGACCAAACCAGACCAATTCACTGCAAAAAAAAAAAAAAAAAAAAAATCTAGTCAAGTTCAGGTGACTTGAATTAAGAAAGTTTTATCATGATTTGAATCAGTTTCATTTGACAAGTAAAAATATCTGTCAGTGGACTAAGACTTTTTGTACTTAAAATATGAAAATGCTGACCAGGCTGGCGCCACCTAGTGTCTCCGCTCAATTTCATTTCTCTCAAGCAACTAAGTCAGGAATCGGAATACACTAGATGGTTCGCAAAAACCCCAGAAGTACGAGTTCGGGCATCAGCCAATCAGTAAAGAGCCATACATTCTGTGTTGGTAACGATTCCCCAAGATCAAGGATTTAAAGCTGGAACAAAGACAATGTTTGGTAAATTTTATAAAGGGGAAAGACGTTATTGCCCTTCTTCCTATGGGATTTGGGAAAAGCTTAATATACCAGTTATCCCCGTTAGCGGTGCATTACATACATCACGACCAAATAGCAGCAATTGGTTAAATGAAAAAAAGTACCCACTTACCGTCGAGCGAACATGGTTTCTACAAGTGGAGATTGTCATACTGTGGAACATTCCAGGCAGAGCAATGGCATATCCGTAGAAACAAGCAGGTGACGGACCCTCCACGAGTAAACTATTCTAAATGTACATTACAAAGCATGTGCTGCAATAAATAAATATCAGAATGAAACACTTCAGTACTTAGTTTGCATCTGTAATGAGTCACAAAAGTTGTTAATTCACCCTTTGATTGCTAAAGTCTTATCGTAGAACAGAAAAATAACAAAACGATTAATATTGACCCAGAAAATATTGTTGCTTTCATATATTGAACGATAAGTCAATATAGTAATTATCTTGACAGGTCTACTTAATGCAGGACCAGAATTTATGTACTACTTTCGTAATCTGATGTTATCGAAAGAAAGGAAACCAGCTTGTTTGTCCATCATAAATAATGGTTGATTATAGTTTTCCAATGCAACAAAGTCTGTCTGGACACCTGCTTCTACTGATAAGAATGGGAATGCTAATCACTATTGAAAGATTTATCTATGTGACTTAAGTGAGTAGTAAACAAGTTAGCCAATGCAAAGTAAGGAGAAGTTTCAACATTTGTTTAGTTTCAGCTGTAAATTGTAGTAAATTGTAAAAACGGTCCCCAACATCACCAATACTTTAGATTATAAAAGCAGTCAAATTTGGACTTTTGGACACAGTAACTTTTTACATTATAAGCTTTGTCATCTTCACTCTCTGTTTGCTTTTGAGCCTTGTCCTTGAGGAGCACCTGTTGTGGACTTTTAACTAAGATACCCTGAAGCCATCACTTCCTCTGTGTTTTTATACTGCAGGTTTTGATTTGATTTTGATTTGTCTTAAAAATAGTTTGTTTTAAGTAATTAGCAGTGGTCCAAAGTTATTCCACACTTATCTTATGTATTCAGAGTATTCTATATATTCA